CTTCAAAGGACTATTACCTTAATACATTAGTCAAATCTGTGATTCCATTCTTGGAAACATTTTCCAAACTCATCTGTTTTTATGGCTGACAGCACCTCCCTCATGTTTTTCTTCACGTGTTCACCTCTTCTACGTCGTCAGCTTGCTGTCCTTTCATGTAATTCTTCATAAGCAGGAACAAAAAGCCGCACAGAGTGAGGTCAGGTGAGTATGGTGCTCGGGGCAAGAAAGGCATGCTGTTCTTTGCAAAAACTGGTGCACGCAGATGGCTGCGTGAGGCCTTTTTTGTCACACACTGCTACGCAATCTTTTGAGAACCTCTAAATAGAAATCTTGATTAACAGTCTGACCTGGTGGAATGAACTCCAAATGCACTCTCCCCCTCACGCCAAAAAACCCCCCAAATAAGTATTGGGGTGTGTTTTTTTTGGGGTGCCACCTTGTACGTTTAGTCGCTCTTATAAATGTGTGTGTTTTGGGGGTCTTATTTTCTTTTCAAAGTTCTGTCTGTTGGTGTAAAGGAATTTGACTGAATTTTTTAATGTTGATTCTAGAACCTGTCACTTTGATGAATTTTGCTATTAGTTTCCATAATTATCTTACTGAGTCTCTGGGTTTTCTGTATAGAGAGTCATAACACATGCACATGGGGATAGTTTTACCTATTCTTTATCAATTAGATGCCTTTAGATTCATTTTCTTGCCTTGTTGCCCAGACTGGAAATTACAAGCACTTTGTTGAATTAGTGGTGTTAGGCCTTGTCTGGTTCCTATTTGCAAGAGGAATATTTTCAGTCTCCGTTGAGAATAATGTTGCCTGTTGATCTTGCATATATACCCTTAATTGCAGGAGAAATTTTCCTTTTACTCCTATTTTGAGGAGAGTTTTTTTTACCAGGAATGGGTGTTGGATGCTAGTGGATGCCTTTTGCATTGATTGTTGTGACTATGTGCTTCTTTCCCCTTTTCCTGGATTTGAGTTTTGTGCTACATTTTGTACTACATTTCTCTTGCCCTCTACTCAAGATTTATCTAATGTGATCCCTTTCAGAGTAATGGGGATTGGTACCTGGGTACCATCTAATTCTTCTGGCCTCAAGGTTGAGGAGGCTGGTGTTCAAGGGACGGTTACCATGGGTCTTCAGTTTTCTTCATTCTGTTGTCCTCCGGACAGGGAGACCAATAGTTTTGGGGTTTTTTTTCCCCTAAGAGGAAGCTGATGAGTTTTTAATACCCCTTAAGACTCCAGCTGAACAGCAGCCTCGTATTTCTTTTATAATTCTGAACCTCAACCTGTCATTGTTATTTTAGTCTCTTTCCTTGTTTTTCACACCCATTCACGTAAGAGTGTTGTCTTCAGGCTCACTGGCCATCGCCGTCTTAGCGTCCACATTCTCAGTCCTGGGAGTCTGCAACGTTGTGTGGTAGGCAGTGGATTATTAACTGCAGGGTTGGGGTTTCCCACCTGCCACTCAGCAGGAGAAAGATGAAGTCCGTGAAGATTTACAGCTCGATGGCGGTGGGGTTTTGGGTTTGGCTGGGCCTGAAATGCAGTTAGAATTCAACACGGTGTTTGGGAAAGGAATGGTTCTGGGTGTGGCCATCTGTGGAGGTGTCTTGGCACCCCACACAAGGTCCGAGGCGGGTACGGGGCTTCCCCATGGGAGGACAGCAGGCTGAGGCTCCTCTCCAAGTTGACTGGCACAGAACAGGATCTCCACCGCACAGATCGTGTTATTGCTGGGCCCAGTGGGCCCGGTTCAGCGGAGGCTCTGATGTACCCCAACCCCCCACCCCCTCCACTGAACCCACAGGCGCCTCGCAAGGCCACGCGACCAGTGCCAGGCGGAGAGGGCCATGCCTGACCCCGCGGCGCACCTGCCCTTCTTCTACGGCAGCATCTCGCGCGCCGAGGCCGAGGACCACCTGAAGCTGGCGGGCATGGCCGACGGGCTCTTCCTGCTGCGCCAGTGCCTGCGCTCGCTGGGCGGCTACGTGCTCTCGCTCGTGCACGAAGTGCGCTTCCACCACTTCCCCATCGAGCGCCAGCTCAACGGCACCTACGCCATCGCGGGCGGCAAGGCGCACTGCGGCCCCGCCGAGCTCTGCGAGTTCTACTCGCGCGACCCGGACGGGCTGCCCTGCAACCTGCGCAAACCGTGCAACCGGCCGCCGGGCCTCGAGCCTCAGGCCGGGGTCTTCGACTGTCTGCGCGACGCCATGGTGCGTGACTACGTCCGTCAGACGTGGAAGCTGGAGGTGAGGCCGCACGACGGGACGGGGCGGGGCGGGGTGACGTACGGGGTGGGCGGGGCCACGCACAGGGGGCGGGGCCGAGGAGTGGAGGCGGCTGGGGTGAGGGTGGGGTGATGAAGGAGATGATCTTCCCCAGCCTGGGCGGTTCTAAGGTGTTCCTGGCCTGCGAGCTGAAGGAATGGGGCTCTGGGTGCGGGCAGCATCTGGGAGGACCCCGTGGGGGCAAGGGCACAGTGATGGAAGTGGTGCCAGGTCCTCTTCCCCACCCTGAGCCATGTGCTGCAGTGGACTCCCACGCTAGACCAGAAGGCCGAGGGGTGCACAGGGATGGGGTGGGTGGGTGTTGTGACTTGGGCTGGAGGTGGGTCTGATAGGGTGCGATGACCTGGAATGGGGCCGTCCACCGGGGCAGTACACCTGGTGCTTGACTGCCCACATTAGGCTTGGAAGCTGGGATGCCCTTGCGGCCGGGATGGAAGGAAGGTGGGGGCTCCGGTGGGGGGGCGTGAGTGACCATGGCCTGAATGGAGATTGTGGGGGCTGTTCCAACAACCTGCCAGAGATACTCTTAGGTGTGTGGAGGGGGTGGGAGGTGTCTCATGGGGACCCTGCGATTCGGAGAGCCCAGGATCTGGGTAGAGGGTGCTGTGGCTGCCCATTTGGCTGCCTGGCACCCTGCTTCCTTCCCCAGGGCGAGGCGCTGGAGCAGGCCATCCTCAGCCAGGCCCCCCAGGTGGAGAAGCTCATCGCCACCACGGCCCACGAACGGATGCCCTGGTACCACCACACTCTGACTCGCGAAGAGGCCGAACGCAAACTCTACTCGGGCACGCAGACAGACGGCAAGTTCCTGTACGTAGGGGTTGAAACCTGGGTTTGGGGGGGACTGGGATAGAGCTGAGTGTGCAGGGATGTGCCTGTGGATAAAGATGTACTTTGATGTGTGTGCAGAGCGATGACTACGCGTTGGGCTGCTGACTGCAAGGTTGGCAGTTCGAAACCTCCAGCTGCTCCAAGGGAGAAAGCGAGGCTTTCTGCTTCTGTAAATAGTTACTGTCTTGGAAACCCACAGGGGTCAGTTCTACTCCGAGCTATACAATTGCTGAGTCAGAATCGACTCCCCGGCAGTGAGCTTTTTGAGCGAGAAAGGAATTCTCATGGAAAAAGTAGTGGTAGTGGTTGGCATCTGGCTTCTGCCCTGTACTGACTTCAGACCTTGGGCAAGTAGTGGAACTTTTCCTTGCCTCCATTTCCTCTTTCAATGTGAACTCATCGATGCAAAAGAAGTGTTTCTTGGATACCTATTGTGTGTCAGGCACTGAGGACCCAGCAGCGAACAAAACAGACACAAATGCCTGCCTGGTGACACAGGTAAACAAACCAATAAAATTGATGCATCAATAAAACTGCATATCAGGTGGTGGTAAGCAGTCTTTAGGTGTACACGCGGCGGGTTGTAATTTTGGATTGCCTTCCTGAAAATGGGTGTGTTAGTCTGGGTTGACTAGAGAAACAAATTCATAGACACTCATATATGTATAAGAGCTTTATATACAAGAGCAATTGAATCTTGAGAAAACATCCCAGCCCATCCCAAACATCCACAAGTCTGATATTAGCCCATATGTCCGAGACCAATCTAACAATCCTCGTCAGCCTCACGAAACACATGCGATGATGCCGAATGCAGGAAGACCACAAGCCAGTGGGTGGAGAGTCTTGTGGATCCAGCGGCAGTGCAAGTATCTCAGTGCTGGTGTGGTTCTCCAGATGGCTGCGCCAGCTCCAGAGTTCTGGTTCCATCAATGTAGCTCCGTGTGGCTTGTCAGCAGGAAGACAAAGCTGAGAGTGGAGTGTGTATTTAGCCTCCGATCAGTATTTATCTCAGTCGTGCCTCCAAATGAGGTCATCAAGCTGCGACTTGATTGACAGGCTAGACCACCCCTTTGCAAGTTGACAGGAGATTTGTTGTCAGGACTTTGTGAATTACTGTGTGTGGGATAGAACAGGCAGTGATGGCCCCATGACAACATTCTCGCCTTCCATGTAGGAGACCTGGGTTGATTCTCAGCAGCACACCTCTCGCACAGCCCCACTCATCTGTCAGTGGAAGCCTGCACATTTCTATTGTGCTGAACAGGTTTCAGCGGAACATCAGGACTCAGATGGACTAGGAAGAAGGCCTGGCGATCTACTTCTGAACATCACAATGGTCTCATGCTATTGTGCATGGGGTCACCACGAGTAGGGGCTGACTCGGTGGCAGCTCACAACAGAGTGATAGTGCAATGCATATACAACCCCCGAATCAAACCCACTGCCATCAGTGGGTTCTGTCTCCCAGCAACATGAAACAGAGCTTCCAAAGTGGCATATCTTCCAGGGAGGAGACAGCCTCACATTTCTCCCTCCAAGTGGCTGGGTTTGAACTGCCAACCTTGTGGCTAGCAGCCCAAGGCATGTCTGACAGCACCAGCTGTAGTTGTATGTGGGTGCATGTGTGTGTGTTTGAGCCTGAGCTGGGCCATGTGACTGTAAGCTTTCTGGTTTTCGTTTTTTAATGGTAAAAGAATTTCTCTAGAGCTCTTGGGAGAACCCTGCGGTGTGAGGGCCATGTCTGGGACTGGGACTTTCTGGACACGGGCTCAGCTGAGATCACTCCGCCATCAAGACACGGAGGAACGTGATGTCACGCCTGCCTTTCTCCCCTGGCCTGCCCGAAGTCCAGTGTCCTTCCTGGGATGTCTGTGACTTCCCAGGGCCTCTGTTCCCATGGGTGCTTCTCAGCCCGAGTTCCTGCCTGCTGAATCCTTCCTCTTGCCCTTAGAACTGCTCCCTCCCCTGGGGCCAACCCATTTGTGGGAGCGGATCCATTTTTCTTTATTTTCTCCACCCGTGGGAGGTCACGCATGTGTGACAGATGGTCTGTGAGGCTCCTTCAAGAGCCGCCACCCCCATCCCCCATTCTGCTGTCAGCTGTTAAATCATCTTTCACTTCTGCAGGCAGATTTTAGCCTCTGCAGTGAACTTTCCAACGCCTCTGAGCGAATGCCTGGAAGGGAAGCGTGTGACAGGTCATGTTCCGCTGCAGGGGCAGCTTTAGAACCACTTTATAAGGTGGGGCTGCTTTCTCTCACGGGGCAAACCCGGCTCTGCATGTGCATCACTTAGCCTTTGCCACGTACGCTCACCACGACAGGGGGTTTCTTTCTCAATGTTGTGCGCAGGTCTTCAGGTTTGGGCCAGTTGGGCTGGGACTGACGGGGTGGGGTGGCCACACGCACCTGGGTGACTAGTGGCTCCGTGTGTCCTACAGTCATGGAGGCGCAAGTGGTGGTGGTTTCAGACTTGTCAGGAGTAGTCAGAGAAGGCGAATGCCAACTCATGTGCTGCTTAAGTCTCTGCTGTGTAATTTGGTTAGTGACACCCGTTGTCTAAAGCAGGCACATGGCCAAACCTAACTTCACGGATCGGGAGGACACTACCCAAGGGCTCAGGGCAGCGGTTTTGCCAGCAGTCTGTATTAGGACTGGACTAAGGAGGGCACCGTGAAGGTGATGGGTGTCTGGGCTGTCGTTTCCTTTTGGACTGTAAGCTTCGGGCAGCTCCGGCACCTGGTGCCCCTGGAGAGAGCCCTTCTAGCACACGGGGCACTTGTTCAGATGTCACCCATCTCTGTCCACAGACTCCTCCTCTTGGGGGCGACACTGAGACGTTACTAGTCAGGGGTCCTGCATCTCACTGGCTTATGCAGACAGAGCAGGGGAGGTCTCCTGGCATCCCTGCTTCCCTTCATCAAAAGTCATTTCATTGTTGGTGCAGGCTAGATTTCCTTCTCTGACTTCATCGCAAGCGCTTCCTGTAGCCTCTTCTTAATGCAGGCTTTCTCTTCTAGGTGCGTTTTCCCTTCTCCTCCTTCTCTTCCCCTTCCTCCTCCTTCTCCGCCTCCTCTTCCTCCTTCCCCTCCTCTTCTTCCCCACCTCCTTCTCCTCCTTCCCCTCTGCTCCTCCCCGCTGGCTGTCTCTCTTCCTCCCCCAGCGCTTGCATACATACAGTTAATGATTCTGTCATTCCAATGGTTTTAAAAGTGTTCCCCAGATTCCCCAAGGCCCCTGAAAGTATCCGAGGATTCAGGGTGGTGGCAGAATGCGTGGGTGGTTGCGAAGATGGGATTTTGCACCCCACCCTGGTGTCAGCCGGAGCAGTAGCGCTGCTTCATCCTGCTCACACCAACGGCTCCGAGTAAGATGATGTTTGACAAAGAATCGCACTGCCAAAAGGAAGCACGTGCAAACTTTCTACCTAACGGAGCAGAGTCCGGGATGGGCTGAGACGTAACTGTCTGCTGAGAGAAGAAGAATCCCGCTGGTGTTTGTTTGGCGGTGAAATACATACAGTTATCCACACCCTCTGTATCTTTGCTTGTGTGGTTAGTGTCAGGAATTAGTGGCTGCGTTTCCAGGAGCTCACGTATCCCCTCTGCCCTGCCCCAACACCCCAGGGAGTGTATTACTTAGCCTGTGCTGGGGAACACACTCTCCTAAATTGTAGTGAGTGAAAATAACGGGCACTTTAAAAAAAAATCAATTTATTGGGGCTCATACAATTCATCACAATACATAGATCAATTGTGTAGAGCACATCTATACATTTGTTGCCCTCATCATTCCCAAAATTCGCTTGCCTCTTGGGTTCCCGGAATCAGCTCATTTTCCTTCCCCCTCCTCCCCTTCCTCTGCTCCCCTCCCCCATGCACCCTTGATAATTTATAAATTATTATTATATCTTATATTACACTGCCCAGCATCTCCTTTCACCTACCTCTCTGTTGCCCATCCCCCAGAGAGGAGGTTATATGTAGCTCTCTGTGATCAATTCCCCCTTTCTATACGCCCCCTTCCCTCCTGGTATCGCCACTGTCCTGTGTGGTTCATCTGTCCTAGATTCCCTGTGTTTCCAATTCCCATCTGTACCGCTGTGCATCCTCTGGTCTAGCCAGATCTGCAAGGCAGAATTGGGGTCCTGGTAGTTGGGGGGAGGAAGCGTTTAAGAACTAGAGGAAGGTTGTGGGTTTCATTATTGTTATACTGAACCCTAAGTGACTCATCTCCCCACTACCCCTCTGCAAGGTATGTCCAGTTGTCTAGAAATGGGCATTGAATCCCCATCATGCGCCACCCTCATTGATTTTTCTCCCTGCCTTTGGTGTTTGAAGCCAATAACAGGCACTTTTTAAAGCTCTTGAGTCTGTGGCTCGGCAGTCTACACTGAGTTCAGTTGGGGGATTTCGCCAAGTTCAGGTGGCTTTGCTTGAGGGGATGCCACCCCTGTGCCTGGAGTCAGCCTACTGGGTGCCCTGGTCCTTCTCCAAGTGGCTTTTCCCCTAGGTGACCTTGGACCCACCCACAGGTCCCATAGGTGACCTTGGACCCATGCGCAGGTAAGAGTAGGAGAGGCCCTGGCCGGGCACAGATGCTGTGTAAGCCTCTGCTTGTGCTTTGTTGCTACTGTCTTACTGATCAAAGTAAGTCAAGCTGGACTCCCGGAGAAAGAGAAGTAGGTCCCACCTATTGACCGGAAGAGCTGCCAGATGTTGTATGTACCCATTTTTAATTTTCTTAAAAAACACAACAAACCTACGCATTTGCTGATGGGTAGCTGGGTGTTACCAGCTTCTGACTTTAGGTTTTGACCCTTGTAAGAGGTGTCTTCAGTTCTCAAGAGAAAAGAATTTGTCTTTAGTGGTCATATCTCCAGGCCAGCCCATCTCTCCGGTTACTCCTGTGAAGGATGATGCCGAGCGGGGCACTTGCTTCTCTCTGCTGGTTGTGGGGTTCTCTTCCTTGCCCTTCGACACGCCCTATTATCCCCACCCCAGTTTTCTACTTCAACCGGTTTCCCTCCGAGGGCCGGGGTCTGGCCTGGGACTGCTGTGACTCACTGCACTGTGCTCTGGGGATTGTGCTGTGCAGGAATGGGTGGGATAGCTTCCGCCACCCTTTGGTCCTGCACTCAGGGCCAGCCTGGTGATTTAGGGGGCACATCTCAGTTTTTCAGCTTAGCAAATGGCCCAGTTGCAAAGTTGGCTTCTGTCTGGTTTGCCACTATGTGCTTGCCCCATAGAGTGTCCGGTGACTGGCTCTTGTCCAGTGTCTGCCCCTGTGCCGCCCCAATGGCTATTTCCTGCTGCTCACTGCCAACCAGCTCCACTTAACTTAGCCCGCCACCTTTGGGGAGATTAGACCGCTGCCTGCAAACCCCTCCGGCTCTGGTACCCCAGACCAATTGCCCCTCACTGCTTGGTTGGAAATCCATACGTAGTCCTGGAAACCCATGCCAGTGACTCAAGGCAGACCTGTCTCGTGAGAGATGTGACTGGTTTCCCTGTGGCAAGTCAGGGTCTGGTGTCCGACCCAGGTGGTGTCTGCCCGCGCGCGCGTGTGTGTGTGTGTGCGTGTGTGTGTGTGTGTGTGTGTGTGTGTGTGTGTTATGTTGTACAGCACAAGGGTGCCGTCTTGGTGGGGCATGATTCCCAGCACAGGCATGAACGATTGGCTTATGTGGAGGCTTCAGAAAAGCTCGTGGGACAAGTCTGCGATCTGTTCATTGCTACTTTTTCCATAAGCTTTGTGAAGCCCCCTGGTATATATTTTAAGACATTTCCAGGAGAGGGCAGTCAAGACCCAGTCTCCTGGTTGGTGTTAGCCTCCCGTGATGTGCGGTGACTTGTCATTTGCACACATGTTCCCCATGATCTAGGCATGGGGTCCGTGCTGACCTGGGTGGTGTCTATGGGGAAAGGACCATCTCTCCCCTGGGGGAACAGTTTCAAGGCCTCCTGCAGGAGGCTGTGTGTCCCCTTGTGAGTCACTCTGCATCTGTGGCAGATGGCCCACCATTCTCCCGTGGTCTGACTGTGGGTGATTCAGGGCCCTCCAGGGAATGCTGAGTGTCTGGCGATAGGTGGTTGAGCACCTAGTTAGAAAGACCAGGTATCCCCTGTGGGTGGCTGTGTCTTTCCCAGATGGTGCCGTATCTGACATTGGGTGGGGGATAGCAGGGAATGGCTGAGTATGCACCTGTGGGTGGCTGAGTGTCTGTGCAGGACGGGTGTCTGCTGTGACGGCCAGTATTTCCTCTGGCCTTGGACGTGTGCTTCCCTAGGAACACTTATGTCCCTCTCCTCCTCCTCCAATACTGACTGTCACCCATGGGCCTGGAAGTTGAGCAGGGAAGCCAACCTTGGCCCCTCCAGTCCTGACTGCTGCTTCATGAGGTTCTGGGGTGTGAAGCAAACAGTACACAAGGGAGTACACGGCGGGGGGGGGGACTGAGGTCCTCAGAAGTGGGACAAGTGACTGTGAGAATGCCAACCCCTCTTCCCACTTCAGGCTACGGCCCCGGAAGGAGCAGGGCACGTATGCGCTGTCCCTGATCTATGGGAAAACGGTGTACCACTACCTCATCAGCCAGGACAAGGCGGGCAAGTACTGCATTCCTGAGGGGACGAAGTTTGACACTCTCTGGCAGGTAGGCTGCCACCACCCGCCCTGCTCAGGGGGAGATGCTGGGCGCACAGCCCCCTGGGGAGAGGGGGAGCCCTGCCTTGACTCTCGCTCCCCACAGCTGGTGGAGTACCTGAAGCTGAAGGCAGATGGGCTCATCTACTGCCTCAAGGAGGCCTGCCCCAATTCCAGTGCCAGCGCCGCCTCCGGTGAGTGGGGCCGTGGGGGTAGATGGGTGAGAGACCCGGCCTCACACATCCCTCACTGTCCCTTCTGCTCCCCCAGGGGTTGCTGCTCCCACACTCCCAGCCCACCCATCCACGTTCACCCAAGTGAGTTGACCAGGACCCTCAGAGGTGGGGACTTAGGGATGGAGCTGGGTGGGCTGGTCTGGGGGATGCTGGGAAAGAATGGGAGCTACTATGGAGCAGAACCTTCCCCACCCCCTCGCAAAATCTGGGCACTGTCCCTCAGAGGATATGTATCTCCTAAGAGAGGCTAGGGTCTCTCAGCTGACTCTGCTGACCACATGACCTTTAACCCTAGAGACGGATGGACACCCTTAATGCAGATGGATATACTCCTGAGCCCGGTGAGCTGGCTGAGTGGAGGTGGCCTGTGCTGGGCCAAGAGAGGGGCCCCTGGTTGGGTTCTAGGGTTGTGGGTGGTGGTGAGTTGAGCCAAATCTGCAGACTACTTACTTGATCAGTGCCTGTGCACACAGCACACCTACAGATGTACACACTGCACCACCATCGTGCCTGACTGTACACGCACACCGAGGTGTATGCAGACACCCGTTTACTGAGCACGTGCCCGTGCCGTGAGCCCCGAAGCCTCCCAGCGCTCCTCCTGAAGCCGTTACAGACATGGCCCCACTGGACAAGTGACAAAGGGGTGGCCCAGGAGGACAGGCAGTATTCTAAGGCCCCATAGGCAGGCAGTGGAGGAGCTGGAACTGGAACCAAACAGACGTTTCCATTGTCTGTGTTTCTAATACATTTCCAGATGCAAACTGGTTCACATGCATGTACACACAGCTACTTCCTTCGCAGTCCTGCACCCGGCTGCACACCACACGGCTGCACACCACACGTGCAGACAGGGGCAGGTATGTAGGCAGGTGCACACATGTGCAGACACACGTGAACCCGTGTACACACGCCAGCTAATGCACACATGGCACCATGTGCACACAGAGCTACCTGCCCTCAGCGCCCTGTGTTCACGACTGCATGTTAAATACATGGGCAGGAGTGTACAGGTACACGCACGGGCACAAAGATGGGCACAGCCCAGAGGGTGCACTCCTGGATGTAGATGCACATGCCTTTAGGGCCCCCCCGCCTGCAGCTTCGAGGAGCCCTGGTGGAGTCACAGTGGCTTACACATTGGGCTGCTCACTGCAAGGTCAACAGTTTGAAACCACCAGGCCCTCTGCAGGAGAAAGATGCCATTTTCTACTCCCACCAAGATGTATAGTCTGAACCCACAAAGGCAGTTCTGCTGTGTGAGTCAGCATCGGCTTCACAATACACACATGGGGGAGAACGAGTGCACACGTGTGAGCACTTGCAAACACACCCACATGCCCAGCGGCATGCCCTGCATGGTGCACACGTGTCCGAGGTGTGTGTGTGTGTGTGTGTGTGTGTGTAGGGGTGGGGCTGGGGGTTGAAGCGGCCCTTCCCCTCCCCCTCCTGACCTGGGAGTGTGCGCCCAGGGCGCCCCACGTCCCCAGCGAAAACGCGCCCGCTGCCCATGGACACGAGCGTGTATGAGAGCCCCTACAGCGACCCCGAGGAGCTCAAGGACAAGAAGCTCTACCTGAAGCGTGAGAACCTCATCATGGCCGACATCGAGCTCGGCTGCGGCAACTTCGGCTCGGTGCGCCAGGGCGTCTACCGCATGCGCAAGTACGGCGCCCTGTGTACATGGGGTGGGGGCTAGGCTGGAGCCCGGCCGTCGGTCAGTCCCACGTCCGTTTGCCTAGGAAGCAGGCTCTGGGGCGGGCGCGGTAATCAAGAAAATGAACGGGGAGGGCTCCCGGGGCGGGGGCGGGGGTTGGGGGAGGGGGGGAGACAACACCTGAGAGTGAGGGACGCAGTCGGGGTTCCTGGGACTGGTTCGGTTGTATTCAGTTGCAACAAAGGCCTCAGCCGATGCCGGGGGCGCTGCAGAGTCGGCTCCCCTGCCTTGTTCGTTCTTGGGCGTGGCATGGTGGAGTGTTAGGCTGCTAACCGCCAAGGTCAGCAGTTCAAAACCACCTGCTGCTCTGTGGGAGAAAAACGGGGCCGCCGGCTTCTGTAAGAGGTTACAGCCTCAGAACCCCCACGAGCAGTTGGAATCTGCCCGAATGGGTCGGCATCGACTCCATGGCAGCGGGCTGAGATGAACTGTGGGTGAGCCGTCCACAGCCGACAGCCCAGGCAAACGAGCGCCTGGGCCCCGAAGTGGGTGCTGTGGCCAGCCACCACTCCACTAATAGCTGGAGGGCAGGGGGGCGGTGCGGGACCGAGCGGGGCTCACCGTGCACCCTCCCTGTCTGCGCGAGCCAGGAAGCAGATCGACGTGGCCATCAAGGTGCTGAAGCACAGCACGGAGAAGGCGGACAAGGACGAGATGATGCGGGAGGCGCAGATCATGCACCAGCTGGACAACCCCTACATCGTGAGGCTCATCGGCGTCTGCCAGGCCGAGGACCTCATGCTGGTCATGGAGATGGCGGGCGGCGGGCCCCTGAACAAGTTCCTGCTCGGGAAGAAGTGAGCCCCTGGGCGGGCAGGGCCCTCCGACCGGGTGTGGATAGAGAGGCATGGGGTCCCCAGGGCGGATGCCCCTGCCCTGCTGCCCACGCGCACACTCGTGCCAGGTCTAGAGTGAGCAGGGCGGACTGGATGGAGCCTGAGTGCTAGGCCTGGGGTCCAGCCCTGCCACCAGCTCGCTCTAACGGCAGGTTTCCTCCGTCTGTGCCCTGGCTCGTCATCTGTCACTTGGAGGGCTGGGGCTGGGGGCGGCGACTGCCTCCAGTGGGCGCTTATGGGGATATGAGTTACTGCTTGTACAGCGCTGGGAAAGCATGCTCGGTGACGACCACCGGACTCTCCTGGGGTGCTCTTACTGGGTTGTCTTTGCCCCAAAGCCGGGTCCTGACAACGACAGCCCCCAGCTTGTGCTTGTATGTCCTGAGAGTTAATCGGTAGTTTTACAAAGGCAGAGAGACCACCGCAGTGGCCTGCCAAGGCGAAAATCCTCGCTGGCCCCTTTCAGAAAAGGTTTGCTGACCCCTGGGCATTTTCAAACGTGTCCCTCTGAGACTTGCACCCTCACAGACACAATTCCCATCCTCGCCAAGGCACGGGGTCACAGACACAATTCCCATCCTCGCCAAGGCACGGGGTCACCTAGCCACGCGCGCTGGCAGGGCCGGGCACTGTCATCCGGGCAGCTCGGCCATCCAGCCTTCAGTTCTCAGCGCACAAGAGAGACGACTCCCCTGCCTAGTATTCTGGTTGAGAAAGAGAAACACGAGAGATGGTCTTCCTCCAATAAAGTGTACTGTGTGTGGAAGATGAGGGATCTGGGAAAGGGGCCAGCAGGGTAAGGGGCTGGGCCAGGTCAGTCATTGAGGGTGGCAGCCCATGGAGATGGGAGGAGGAGGGCTTGGCCAGTGCAGAGGCCCTGAGATAGGCCTGTGTGGGTGCCTGGAGGAGCAGGGAGCGACACAGCGGCTGGCGCAGGGAGGAGTCGCAGGACTCAGGGGAGGGCAGGGCAGGGATATTGTGGGCTACAGGTAGGACTTGGCCTTTTACCGTAAGTGAGGGGAGCTCCTCAGGAAACTGAGTGGAGGAGGGAGGTGCTGCTCTGAAGGACAGACCCTGGGTTGGGTGGAGGAGAGGCCCAGGGGGAGGTGATTGATTCAGTCCAGGGAAGTGGTGCCAATGGTGGTGTGGAGGATGGCGATGATGGGGAATTGAGCTCTGGCCCTAGAGCCCCCAAGAAGCCCAGAAGACCCGTGGGCACGGGAGCCTGGTGGATGCAGGCAGAAGCCCAAGTTGGGAAGGGTAGCAGTGGGCGGTATTTAGAGTCCCGGGAAGGGATGAGAGCAAGGACGTGTGCCTGTTTTGTCCAAGCTGGGTCCCCATGCCTGGCTTGTAAGCCTCAGTTGAGCCCGTGGTCCCCTGGTCAAGGGCAGCTGGGTCAGATACATGGGGGTTTGCCTCCTCGGGACCTTGGACCTACTCCTCTGGGGTGACCCTGCCGTCCCCTCCTTCCAGGGATGAAATTCCCATCAGCAACGTGGCGGAGCTGCTGCACCAGGTCTCCATGGGGATGAAGTACCTGGAAGAGAAGAACTTCGTGCATCGAGACCTGGCAGCCCGAAATGTCCTGCTGGTCAACCGGCACTACGCCAAGATCAGTGACTTCGGCCTCTCGAAGGCACTGGGTGCCGACGACAGCTACTACACCGTGAGCCCCCACCCCTTTGGGGCCCAGGTGGATGGGGCCTGGGAGGTTGTGGGGTGGGCGTGTGGAGCAAGCCCTGCCCAAGCCGGGTCTCCCTCCACCTCAGGCACGCTCCGCGGGAAAG